CAGAGCTTTATGACCATATCCCTTGCAATTAAAACACTGAATTCTCTTCTCATGGGTGCTTTCCTTACTGCTATCAGGCGAACTCATTCCCTTCGACAACATCTTCGATTTGTTGTGATGTTTTGACGAACTGGATAGTTTTTTCTCATGAGCAACAAGAAATTGCTCAGCTGTTTTAGTCAGTTCCTCCAAATTCTCAAGATTCCTCTCTCTTAAATAAATTGCTAGGTCTTCTGGACAGGAATGTATAAACTGCTCTTTAATGAACAAGTCACGAATTCCTTCGTAGGTCGTCTCAATTTTAGACAACTCAACCCACCTGGTGAGATATCTATTTAATCTCGTCACAAACTGTTCTGGGCTTTCCCCATCCTCTGGCTTTCCCTCCCTGAATCTCATCCTAAAACCACTTTCAGTAAGTTCATACCTTTTCAAAAGCTTCTTTCAGCTGCTTGTAATCAACTGCGGCTGTCTCTGATAGTCTGGAATAAACATCTAAAGCTCTACCAGTAAGCAATGCACTAAGCGAAGTCGACCATGTTGATTGGTCCCAATTATTGTTCTTAGCGAACCGTTCGAATCTTTGCAGATAACTGTCCAAGTCATCTTTACCATCGACAAACGTTGGTAGTTTAGGTAACTTAGCAGCCGATTTAATACTAGCACTATTTACCTCGACATTCGCGCTCTGTAATTCCAGTTCTTTCATTGCTAGTTCGTGTCTCCTCTGAGCTTCTTTTTCTCTTTCTCCCATTTCTCGTTCCTTTTCCTTTTCGTCCAGTTCTCGTAAACGTATACGTTCTCTTTCCTCAGCCTCTAACTTTTTGCTCTCACGTTCTCGCTGTCTCTCCTCTCTCTCTTCATCGACTCGCCGTTTCTCTTCGTCTTGTTGTTCTTTCACAAAAGCCAATAGCTCTTTGCCTTCAAAGCCAAACTCTTTGCCCAGTGCAATAAGCTTTTCCATGCTCAATTTTAAATGTCAAAATACACAGTCTTTTCAACACACACAGATCAAGTTGTCCTCTGACCAATAATTGTCGGCGATACTACAATATCCACAATAAAGCCACGTACAATATGATTAAATACCTTCCAAACCAACAAACAATGTTGCCCTCTGGCGAATATTTATCCACAATTCTATGTTATTATCCAAGATAAAGCAAAAATACGACCAAATACCTTCCAAACCAATGATCAATGTTGCCCACTGGCCAATATTTATCCACAATTCTATGTTATTATCCACGATAAGGCCCAAAATATGATTAAACACCTTCCAAACCAACGATCAATGTTGCCCACTGGCAAATATTTGTCCACGATTCTATGTTAATATACACGATAAATCCAAAATCTCTTTAAAACCAACGATTAAGGTTGCCCTCTGGCAAATTATACTTGTCCACAATAAGAAAAATGTTTACAAGGAACAAATCATATTTCCCAATTACTCTCCGGCGTATAAATTGTCCACGAATACGGGTCGACAGTTTACTTTCGTTTTGAAATAAACAATACAATTTCCACCCAAAAACTTTCGCCAATTGACCGGTTTCCCGCCTGAGCCCCCAGATGTCACGGAATTCTTGAGAAACCGGTCTTGGTCACATTACAGGACTACTACTCTACGACGTACTTTTATAAATTTTAATAAATAACGGAAAAATATAAACTTTTATGTTAAGTCAGCCATCTTGGTTCTTCCCCAATCAAAGTGTCCTTCCCCCCTGCAGAGCTACACAGCTCCCCCTAGCGTTAGTTTTTCAATTGAGACTAAAGATTTGTGACAGTATGTATAAATTTTTAGTAGCAAATGAGACAAAAATATGTCAAAAAATCATCCGATTTTTGCCCTAACAGGTGCATGGCAATCCAACAAGCGTAATACATCATCTAAGTATAAGAAACGTTTATTGAAGCAGACATTCAGGTATTTTGAAGGTTTCTCGGCGCTTGGCTAAAAAAGCCTATATTTGCCATGGCCTATATAATGCTAAAAGCTTTCTAGGTGACACTGCATGATATAGGCATTTTTCATACTCTTTCCAATTTAGCTGTGTCCTGTATCGAATTTTCATAATACCCGCCCCGCAGAATGAGGTTCAAATCACACCCTCCATACATCTGCGCCATCTGTAAAGCTCTATAAACCATCCTAAGCACCCGCAACCATCTGTAACCGAAACCACCTCAAACTGCACGATCTCACGATCAATAGATGTGTTCCAGATCAATAAATGTGTTCCAGATCAATAGATGTGTTCCAGATTTTTGCGCACAGCTAATTATTAGCATCGAAAATTCACCTACAGTGTAACAATACAAATTTGACACTAAGATCATATATTGGTCCAGTTGAACCAAATATGTTAACAATACAGGCATACTTTTATAAAAAATTAAATTTCGGTCACCCAGTGGACCATTAAAATAATACATCAGTTGGGTTAATTCAGATCAATGGGTTGAATGACCACATGGCCATAACATTGTTTTTTTTTACTAGAGCTGTCAATTTTAATAATCTTAATTAATTAGTATTTAGTGTCAAAATTCATCTCTAGCCACTATATATCTTGCGCACAAGGGATGTCCACAATCTTCGGAAATTGTCGGCAGATCGACTGATATCTGATGCGGATCTCAGTTGTTTTTCTACTTCAACTTGATTTTCGGAAACTTGTGTGAATCTTTACATGATTTTTGTCTATCGAATGAATATTTATCGATAAATCTTTCGTTTCAAGCAATTGGTTGAATTTCCAGCTACGAAAACCCTTCAATATAGCTGACCAGTTGGGAAGTTTACTGAAATCTTCTCTTCTAAATAGATTCTTGGACGTTCCTTTCACTTATAGTACTAGTCATTCAACTCTAAGATATTAATATTGTATACTATCCATTCCTTAAAATAGTTGATACTGCATGTCTTGGAATGTAGTGGGGGAAATGTCTCTTGTTTTGTTTGTCATGGTGGAATACTAGTGAATTGGTGCAGGAGGAGTAAATGTTAGATATTGTATATGGGACGAGTAAATGCATGTACAGTTTCCAGTTATTGGCAGGCGGGTGGTGTATAAGATCATTTATCATCCAAATAAACAGCAAGGGGCCCAGTTTTGTGGGAATCCTGTGAGGTAAACTGACTCCATAATGTCTAGCATACATGCATGGCATACATCGGGTGGTTTACAGGTGGTCGCGTGTGTCTCACGCATTGTTTTCCATGTTATTCTATGGTTAAAAACATTTCTTATTCATATCAACAATGTGCTAACTAATTTACACACATTTGCAATATTCTCTTTCAAAATATCATGCAATATCTAACATTTAATCGCCCATGCACCAATTCATATTCCACCATGCATGACAAACAAAACAAGTTTCCTAACGCAACACTGCCAACACGTAGTATTAAATAAATGTATTAACAAAATTAAATGTCTCATTAGCATTAACCCGGATCTGCTGCTTCGTTTAGGCATTAGGCATTATCGTTTTATTAATTGGCATAAGCTACCGCTGGGCCACCTGTCCCCACACCATTTACACACCATTTATATACATGGTAATACACTAAGACCCCTTGGACAAGCCTACCACTCGTTGCCACTTGACACCGCTGGTAGGCAGCTGCTAGAACCACTTACATGGCCATACACTATAAGACCATTCGGACAAGTCTACCAGTTGATAGTCATTTTCACAGCTGCCCCCCCTCCCCGGCCCTCCCGCCCTTGAAAGATAAGAGTTCCTCAAGGTTTTCCATGTTTTAGGTCTTTATGTATTGTCACTATTGATTACTTAGAGGCTCGTATTCTCTCATTGGCTTAAAAACGGGTTATTAACAGCTTTTTTCATGAAATCAGCTGTAAAGTCTGGTTTCCATATGGTTGTAATGGTCGTAAAAATAGAGTGACGATCTTAATTTCTCAATGGCCAGTTTATAATAGTTTATATCTGTAAACCACATATTAATCATAAGTATTCTCTAGTGATAATCACTCCACGTATTTGTAGTTCTAAAATGTTGTATTTTGGCTGATGAGAAAGATCGTGACTCAATCTTTACGGCCGTTACGACCATATGGAAACCAGGCTTAACCATTAATACTAATGGAGCTTTATTCGTTCCTCGGGCAGGAAGAGATCTAATCCCATAAGGACAATATCAATAAAGCCTTTGTTCTTCTCTTCGCACGTTTTGACAAAATTGAAAATACTGCAAACCTCTTTGTCTGGTCAGTCTGGACATCTATACCTAGTTCCTTTTTACGCGAGGGTATTGTGTCACTCTTAAAACTTAAAAATAACCGCGTTTGCATGGAATAGGTGATCCAGTTTTTTCGGTACGTCCGCAATTAGTTTAAGTCCAAATTACGGCAAAACCACTTGACTCTAAGAAGAACTGTATGTTGCTGGATACGTAATTGGAGGGGTAGAGGTCACCAGCAATCGTGCACAAAATATATTGAGACTTTTGGAATTCACTCCCCCTTCCCCCTGTTTCAAGGTTGAAATGCTGTTATCTTCCTGACAGAAATATAACGTGACTCAACAACCGCAAGTGTCCTATTGGCATTCCCCGCTCGCTTGCTGAATGTAGAAACTCGCACCCCAACCCTGCTTGGCGCGTCTGTAAAGTTCGTACGATTTGGAGGCTGGATGGGGGGGCCCCCCCCCCCCCCAATCGAAAAGAGCTTCCTACGGCCCTGTGAGCTCGTCATTTGGCTGGCTGATATGACTTGAGCATGCGAAGATTGTGTAACTGTGTGTTAGCTGAGTGTTTGTTCAACAGTTGTTTCAACGTCTTTTGGGGACACTCTGTATATGCCTCCTCGCCTCGGGTTTTGGCGATATCACTGTACCACAGATCCAATCTAATCAGTCTACCCCGTGCATACGTCATTGTGCAACATCGTTCTTCCGGTTTGTTTTGCTTCTTCCGGTTTTGCAGGAATCCCACAATTCCCCGCATATTCGTCATGTTTCCTGAAGTGTTTTGGTTGAAATTCCAAATGCTTTCGAATGTATTCTCGCCTAGTTGTGTGTCTTTAAATTTTTAAAAGTCGGGCGAAAGTTTTTGAACTGTGGAGTTTTAGATATGACAAATCGCGAGCCGTGTTGGATTTGAACGAAAGAGTTGTGGAATTGCTGAGAGTCGCTGACATTTTCACGTGTCTGGCGTCTCAAAACATCGTCGAAAACTTGTAAACATCAAAGCATAGAGAGTCGAGGATAAAGCTCTCTGTTGTTTAGATTGCTTGTATATTCCTCAACCACATACAACGATGTCGTTCGGCTTAGATGATGTCGATTTAGCTACACTTAAGGTAAATAATCGTATTTCTGCCGTTTTATGTTAGCCGCTTAGACAGATGGGTGAATATTACTCATAGCTATAAAAGTTTCTATGATGTAAATATCTTTATTTTGAAGTCGTGTTTGACATGCATATGCTTCTGTAGACCTTTTGGCTATGTTAAATATTGTCGGCTAAATTATATGTCTGATTGGCGAAAGATGTATTCTCAGATTATGTGAGCGACCATATCAAATCAACACAGAAGTGTTCTTTGTTGTTGTCGAATACATGACAGAGCATAATACATGACAGGGCATAATATAAATAATATCGCATGTTTAATACTTTCACGTCCAAAATCGACTTATTAAAGTTGTTGTATATCTCTTACCTTAGGATCCAGCGGGCATTTTTGAACTGGTCGAAGTAGTTGGCAATGGGACATATGGGCAAGTTCACAAGGTAATTTATACTGTATATTAAAATATGTATGTTAACTTCAGAGCATAAATGTATGTATAAACTTTGTTTCATTTAAAAAGTTACTCAAATTTTTGCTCGAAAACGTTCCGTATTTCTGTACTGCTACAGTTTCACATCATATAAACATCGCAGTAAAAATTCAATTATTTTAAGATGAGAAACAAAGTTTTAAGACCGGAGTTTTTGATGGCAAATTTTTGTACTCACGCAACATTTTAAGGCATAAACAGCCTGTATTGTCTACCTGCATCACGTCGTGTTTAACCTGTGTTCATTTGCATGCCTTAGTGAAATGCGTTATCTGGGCTTGCCCAGTCCAAATCCAGGCTTATCTTTGACGTGTGTCTTCATGTTTTCGTCAGGAAGATGCGTTACGAATTCACTCTACTGTTAAATTCCAGTTAAATTAATTTGCTACAATATCGGAGGATTGTATTGTTTTATTCATTAACTTATTTATTCTAAATATAAGGCTTTATTTTACCTGGATTTCTGAATTAATGGCTTAAATAATTATATATTAGCGCCTTTGCTTGTATTTAGGTTAATTATAGCAGGCTATAGACAATATTTGTTGGTCAAAGTTGAAGAATTTTTACGGATGTGAGTCGCATAAAGCGTTGAATATATTGGCTAGTACTGTAGTATTAATTAAAGCCAGTTTCTACTTTCTATTTTGGATTGTTCTCATCCCATTTAATTGAAAGAACTTTCTCCTTAATTAATATGTTAATGAAAAATGTCCAAATGATTTTTAACCTGTTAACACATACATGTCAAGTCCACAAAGAGTTAAAAGGAAGTCAGTACGTATTTTAAAACAAGAAGACTTTATGCCATAATTTATGCTCTAACTTAACTGACTATATTAGCTTGTGTGACATGAATGTTTTCAATAGCTTTGATAACACATTATGCTTGATATAAGATTGCTTCAATCAATTGGATGAAATAGAAATTCAGTGGCTGAGGCTAGGAGGGTAAAGGTAAGGGACTGCCCTCAAT